TGCTTCTTATTCAGGTCCGGAGTATCGTGAAATATTGCAGGGAAGGATTTCCCTTGTTTCTGTCGGGCACTTGAAAGGGTGATGTGGACAGCTTTCAAATCCGTGGAGACTCCTGAGCGTTTCGTGAGCTTATGTTGACGAGATTTAATTGGAGCCTGTATAGCTTTTAAACATTCTCGCCGAAGCGCAGCCCAAGCGCCGATAGAGCTTCAAATCTAGCCTTTGATTTCGGGAAGCGTATGAGGAATCCGTGCTATGCTCCAGAGAAGAAGCGGGAGTGACAGGCCTTAGCTTGGAATCCCACCCATTCGATCGCAACGATAGAAAATTGTGTCTATACACTGCCAGGAGGTCTTCACTCATATGTGATAGTTTAGAACGGAACGAGCAGGCATCGATAAAAATTTGAACCTTCAGATGTTCTACCGTCGCTATGCACTTCTTTAGGCTGTCAACTTCTTTGGCGACGGCCAGCGAAACCCTCTCATCAATTTGTTGTCGACGGCAGAAACTCTTCTTCTATATGTCAATTAGTTTCAACCGCGTATTCTGCCTCCATAGCCTCAAATTATTCATTACGCAGGTTAATTTCTCTTTTCATTTCGTTGACCTCTTTCTCATCATTTTTAACGGATTCTTTTTACCCCAATTCTGCCTTTCATTTCCCTTTGGGGGCCCCCCCAATTTCATTTCTTAAAAGATTTGGCGCTTCCTCTTTTCTTGGAAAGCAGAAAAGCAGTAATGCGCTGTCTGTTGTTTTCATCCTCTTGTATTGGCATTCAAATCCCACCTGCCACCAAAAATTGTTGCGTGCGTACGGGTTCGTTATGAAATGAATGCACAAGTCCGATGAAAAAATGAACAAAATTTATTATTATCACAACAAAAATGCTTAAATTTTCTCAAATTATCATGCAGTATCACAATATCTCACAGTAGTTTCTTTAACTACTCAAATGTCCAATAGAACGTAATTCAAAACAGCTAAAGAACGCTAATCCGCGAATTCGCTACATCAACAACAGTAGTTTTCTAAACAACAACAAACTAAGCAACTACTACTACAAACTGAGATGTTTTCCTCCTTTATAAGATTTTAAAATCACGCGCTAGAATTTTCCAGTACTTTCTCGAAATCAAAAGAGTATTATTTATTTAATGCACGCGCTCTTGTATTTTAATTTCCGGTTAGCTTTTTAATATCGTACCGGCATGCGCGAGAAAAAAACATTAATTAATGAAAACATTGCTTTTAAATACATTCGAACACTATTTGCCATATTGTTATCGAAACCAATTCAGAAATGTACATATCAGAGTTGGCCAAACTTCATTTCAGTAAGCACGTTTGAATTCAGGAATGTTCGAGAGCTGCATTTAAATTTTCTAAAAGCCACAAGTTCATATTTACATCATTATAGAAGTAGTGGAGGAGGTTTTAAATAGAAAGAAATCCCTGATAACTTGTAAAAGTAAAAAGAGTCTAAACTAATTAATTACTTCCTTTTGGACACTGAATAGTTTTAGTTTACCATATTTCATACATATATTTTATATGCATGAGCCGCACAAATTGCCTGCAAGAGCCGTATAAGGCTCGCGAGCCGCACATTGGCCACAATTGGTATATATATTTTGCATGTGCATATATATATGTATGCATACACACACAAATAGACATGCACATATATATACATACATACAATCAATCCTCATAACAGAAGAGTATCAATATTTCTAGCAGCTGCTTTCTTAATTTTGCATGAAGTTATCCTGGTTATGAAATCTCATTTTCATATTTGTTCAACTACCTTTCTTCTATAATTCAAGGTAATTTCATATGTTGTATAAAAATTAAAAGCAGTTTTATAGAGTGTTCGTAAGATTATTCTTCATGTCCACCTGTGATTTTTTAATATTGTGAATTCATTGTATTCCTGATTACTTGTATTTACATTCCACAATAAAATATGAGCATATAAAAAGTGTGGTTTCATTTTGGCATGAATGCAACTTCAGTACTTGGTTTAAATTTCACGAAACTTTCCTGAGTCAATAGGTGTTTTTCTAAAATTAATACCATAAATACTTAAATATACACTTATGCATTATTTCATTTAGCCTGTTTATATTATAGACTTTTAAAAATTTAGTACCTTATTCATATTCAGTTCTTGTTCTTCATTTTTAATCTAACTGATATGCAGTTTGAAGTTTGCTCACATGGTATCAAGCTTGTAACAAATTGGTTAAATGTGGTACTTTATGGTGTATTTTCAGGAAAAGCTATATCTTTAAATTATAATGTTTTTTAAATGTAGGGTTATGAAAACTATGTCAGTGCTTGCATTGTTATAGTATTCTGTATTAAGAATTAGTCAACTTTTTATATAAACCAACAGATTTTTAACATCTGAGATAAGTATGAGTAGTGTGCTCTCAAAATTTTTTATCGCTTAATATTCAAATTTGGCATCTTCGCTTATTTGTTATCTGATGAAAGGTTTTTACTTGTTTCATTCTCGTTATTCTCCATAATACAAATGAAATAGTTAAAAAAATTATCTTTCAAAAAATTAGCAAAAATATACAAATTTTATTCAGCTTTATTTTCCTAAAATAAACACTTGCATTTATGCTGGAAATAAAGCAAAGATAGCAAATTTTCGTTATTTCATATAGCCCACCAGAGGCCGAGCGGTTAAGACACTGAACACTGGTAGTTCGGTCCGAGGTTCGAATCCTGTGAATGGGCTGGCTGCATGGGCGTTTTCATGGTTTTTCCCATGTGTAACGTGTATACGAGCCAGTTTCCCTTAGAAAGTCCTCCACGAAGGCATCCCTTCCCTTAGGCAGATAGCCGTAATTAAATAAACCAAACCAAAACCATTATTGATCTTCATCAGTAACTAATAATAATATATGTAAAACAATAATAATAATTCATAATAAATTCTCCTGGTCAAAAGACAAAAAAAAAAAAAAAAAAAAAAGTTAAAGTGAGACATTGAAATCAAATTATGAGCCATACTGTGCACTTTTATAACAACTTTTCCATATTAAGGAACAAGTAGTACAACAAATTATACATGGCAGTAGATAAAAAAAAATAAGTTGCATTTTTTGTTAAATTTTTATAAGACATTATAATAAAAATATACAAATTGCACCCACACAGAAAAATAATCTTAGTTGTTAAAACTATAGTGTTCTGAAATTATAAGTTTTATAGTAATTAATGTATGCTAATTTTTTCAAATAAATGTATATTTGTGTGCTGAAACAGCTTAAATTAATAATACCATATATATGTTTTTTCAAATAAATGTGTGTGCTGAAATAGCTTTAATGAATAACACCGTATTCATTAAGCTATTTAATTTGAATATAAAAAGTTTAAGGGCTATATACAGAAGTCACGTAATATATTTTTCTTATTTATAATTGAACTAAAGAACAAAATAAGGAAAAGATCATTACAAACCTTGTTTTTTATGGAACTCTAAGTTTCATACATTTTATCATGTTATTATAATTATGGCGAGTCTTTAATCTTAATGTGACTTAAAACTAACTTAAAAGTGAGATGAGATCTTAAATCTCCTGTGGTGAGAAACAGTTCTAGACATCCTACTTCACTGAATTTAATATTTTTTTCACATTACGTTATGAATGCATATTCTGTGTTTGCTTAAAATTGATGACGAATATGGCGTAACTTTAGCGACGGTATCTTTTGTGCATACGTTTATGTGCTTTTAAATATCTCATCACATAGAAAGATGCACTGCAAGATTTGCATTATGTTTAAATATCTATATAATATGGATATGTTTAAATATCCATCTCAGTAATAAAAGCAAAAAGAAAGAAAGCGAAGTGCAAGCTCTTTGATTTAAACAAACTGCTAACAATTGACGAGATAGATACGCAGTTGGAGGAGAACTAGAAATAGAGCCAAAAACGTTTCAGGACTGTCATGTGATATAGTCAATGACAGTAAAGATAAGCATTTTGCGTTATCTATCTTGAGATGCCTGTTGCAGCATGGCTCTAGAAACTTCTGGATGAATTGGTCACAGGGCTTCGAAAATAGGTTTTCGTGTCATAACGAACTTTGCATTTATCTTGCATAACACATCCTGCAGAGTATAAATACGGGTCTGAGAACAAGAGAGCTTGTGAATCATCAGGTGCCAGACTTTGCAGTTAGCTGAATTACAAGTTAGTGTTTATCCTGAGAGAGTGATTTAGGAAACTTTAGAATTTATTTCATGAGCTAAAAGTGAATTGCTAAATATCCCTATTCTCCTTGATTTGTTTTCAGCCATTTTTGTTCTGTGTGTAATAGTATTGTGCCTATTCTCCTAATAAATTGTTCATACCATCCTGCTTATCTGGACTCATTATTTAAAGAAACATCAACAATCCTATCACCTAACTGGACAATGATTACGTATATGATAAATGTGTAATTCACATTTACAGTAGAATAGTTATTATAAAGCATGACTTTATAAATAGATTTAATGTATGCGTAGATTAAGTATAGGATAAATGCATAGCTTAGATATACAGTAGAACAGTTATAACAATTTTATTAAATTTATAATAAGATACATAATTAAATTAAAATGAGACATCCAGATTAGTTACATAAAAATCAAATAATTTGTTATAAATACACAAATTTTAAAAATACTTAAATAGCATAATTTTCTTAAACATTATTTAGTGACTTTTCTTTTAAACTTTTGGCATTCAATTCACTGCAATACAAATGATCATAGCTGGGATCTGAATTAACAATTAATTGATTTAATAAAATAGGTTTGGTATTATTTTTTTCTGCTGTTGAAGGATTTCCAAACTGTACTTTTTTACACACTTTTCGTTTTTTAACTGAATAAAATCTCTTTTGGGGAACAATTTTTTTATTTGTTGGTTCTTTTGAAATTGAAGCATGTGCTTTATCTAACAAAGGAACTTCTAATAAATGTTCAATTGCATTTAAATGCTTTTTTTATTTGTGTAGCAAGATTAATGTCCATATTTTCAATGCAGTTTAATTTTTCAGAAATTGAAAATGAAGATTGAATAAGTTCACTAATGCATGTTTTACTTACTGTTAAAGATTCATAATTATTCCTAGTAGGTATTCTGTTTAGAGGGCCTATATAAGGTTCTGTCTTTTTTTCAGACATGATTACAAAATGTATATGTTTACACATATTATTTAAAATAGAATAATCATGGCATGTACATTTATAAGCTTTTAAACAGCATGAACAAAGTCTACAAGTTATGAGGCATAAATCATTACAAACATGATCTCTGATAATTTTATAAGAATTTTCTCCCAGTTCTGATGAAACTTCCCATACATCATCTTTTTTTACACAGTTAGCATTTAAAAGCTCAGCAGCTTTATGACGTTGAAATGTTTTTGTTGTCTTCTTTGTTATTTTTCCTTTCTGATATTTTATGTAAGTGTCAAACTTTTGATCATTGACAAGATTAATTAACTCGATGATACATTTATCAACCCGTTTGGTTTTCTTCCCATCTAAATAAATATATTTTAATTTCCGATGAAATGTTTCAACATACATATTGGTGTTGATTTTAGCCCCTTTTCTGAAACAGTATGCCCACATTTTGGCTCTTTCAAAATAGTATGTCATAAAATATTTATGGAATTCTCGCGTGTCTTCATCTTCACATAGTTGCTCAGAAAATGTTTCTAACATTTTGTTGAACATTTCTTCATCTAATTCATACATTAAAGTTTTTAAAGTTTTGTACACTGCTTGTCTTTTATGTTTTGGCACAGAATCAGAATTCAAATGACCTTTCCATGCTCTGTCCACATGCCAAGCACATAATAATTTTTGGCAAGAACCAAATGTATGCTCCCATGCATTATAGAACATGGGAGCATCATCGCTCATGAAAACCTTTGGCTTGATATCAATGATCTTTTTGATGCAGTTAAAAAAGTTTACCAAAATTTTTTCTGATACTGTTGATGATATTAAGAAAGCAACTGGTATGCCCTCTTCATACTTATCAACGACAAGCAATGTTACAAGTTCAAATCCATAAGCAGAAATTCCATGTGTAGAATCAATACAGATTCTATCATTACCAAATTCTATCAACATTTTTTTTTTTTTTTTTTTTTTAAATTCTGTCATTATTGCTAACATGAAATCATTTTCGTTTACATTTGCATATTTTTCTCCTTGACGTTTATACATCAGAACGGGGTTGAATTCCATTTGCGACATCGTATTAACCCAGGACCAAACACTTGTCTCATCATCTGTTAAAATTAATCCTTTAGAATTAATGCTCAGACCAAAATCCCTCTTAATGTTATGCAGGTCTTTTCTCGTTATTAACTGTTTTGTTTCAATATCATCTCTCGAAGAGAATCTTGCATCTTGCAAAATTCGTTTCTCTTCCACCCCCTGCAATAATTTTAAAAAGATAATTAGGAGATAAAAATTATATATACTATATGCAAAATAAAGTTTTTCATTTATATGAACTTGAAAAGAAAATTTTATATTATTTTATACCTACTAAATATGAATTCCATGCAAACAATGGTATGATATATTAGAATATCAGCTTGCAACTGAAATTTTTTTTTAATGAACATTTCATTGCCCTAATCAATTCTTTCAACAATATATAAAATAGTAAGTGTTTTGAAATTTGAACATCAACTTAAGGAGTACAGCAACTGAGACCAATATTTATATCCAGCGCTTTTTGCATTTCTGCCTTATAAGACACAAGCAACGTAAGTTGCAATGTTTCAGGAAGTGAAATGTTGGTACCCTAAGTAGAAGCCGGACATTATAAAATTTGATTTTGAAGCCGCAGCCATCAATAGCTGTATGTTAGAATTTCCCAGTTCGACTATATTCGGTTGTAACTTTCATTTTAATCAATGTTTGTGACATAAGATGAATGGGGAGAAATGGGTGTAATAAAGGAATATAAAGAGAACGAAGATATAAGACATGTCTGTAGAATGATTTCTGCCTTAGCTTACTTGCCAATAGAACATGTAGATGATACTTAGAGCATTGTATAGGAAAAAGCTTTTAGCACTTGACAAACTTACCACATTCATTGATTCTTTTGTCGAGTAGTGAATGGAAAATCAAAATATGCCCATTAAAATACGGAATGTACATGGACAGCATCATAGGACAAATAATTCTGTTGAAAGGTGGAATTCTAAATTAAACACAATCACTGGCAGAAACCAGCCTATTGTGCACTTATTAGTTAAAATACTAAAAGAAGAAACACAAAAAAAGTGTCTTTTAATTTGAAAGCCAGAGAATTAGGCGACCCTGAAATAACAAGGAAAAAAGCATATGTAAAATTGGATGAAAGAATTAAAAACATCCTAAAAGAATTCGAAACATCAAACAATTTAGAAAAATGTCTAAAATCTTTAAGTTTTGTAACTAGGTTGGACTAAATTGTAAATTATATTTATGCCTTTATAATAAAGGATAGCTAGTATTTATTTACTAGTATCTGTTTTGTATATTTTACTTCTAATATTTATTTTTACTTACATTAATGCAGCTAATTAATTTTATGGTAACTGCACCTGTTCTAATATTTGACTCTAAAATACAGTTTTCCACAAAATCCCTGAAATTTTTATTTTTATTACATTTTATATTTACACAAAAGTTTTTTATTTTTATTACATTTCGCTATGTTTAAAATGCATTCGCACTATAATATCATAACAATTTAAATACATATAAATAATTAAATATGATTGGCAAAAATGTATTTATCATTGTAATTCGATAATCGAGTGCAAAAACAGAGAAAACATCGGTAAAAGAGATTTGCCACTTAAAATACTGTTTTAAATTATATTTGCAATTTTTAAAAGTATTTATTTACTTATTTATCTGCACCCTTTATCTGTTCTAAGATGGGGAAAAGATGTGCAGCTCTAACCACGATGAGTTTCGAAGTGTCTGCTCTGATCGCGAAATTGTACGTGTCCGCTCTGGCAACGTCCGGTGTAGCCACACCACCTGTTCACAAATGTGACAATAGATTACTGGCGAAAACTCTAAACTGACTATTAGCTCATTAGTATAATATAGTTACTGAAAAATGTAAATATCATGACAGATGTATCTTATATACTAAAAACTAATGGAATAAAAAAAGTATCTTTAAATTTACAAATATGCCTATACAGTAGATTAGTAAGAAATATGATACTTAATTGAATAATAAGAAATAAATAATAATAAAAAAACAATTGTTACAAATCAGGTTACTTAAATATAGATAATTAATCACTTTTATATAAATATTTAATATGCTGTTCATAAATACAAGAGAAAACAATTTACCATAATTTTAAATCAGGCAAAATATTAATCTTAGTTTCATCTAGATTTTGAATCAAACTTCAGCATTTTCAAGGTCCCTCTTCTTCAAGAGAATTATCCAAATTTATATTAAAAAAGCAGTTGACAGAGAAACACAAACATTGACCATTGAACCATTCAGATAAAACAGTAATGAAATATAACAAATTAAGATATTAGAATTATAAATGTGTTAATTCCTTCATAACACATTTAGAATTATAATATCTTGGTTTTACATGCTTCATTATTATTTTCCACAGCAGACAGTGTTACGTTCATCTTTACTTTGCTCTACCCACTCCTTCCATTTTGCAAAAGTTTTGTACTCCTGAAGAGATACCTGTGTCTGATTGTCCTCAAAGCTGATAATTTTATTTAAAATCTATGCAAATTAAGTCTGCTGTTAAGCCTAATTTTAAATTTCACACTCGCGTGTTTCTCTCCCAATCTGAATTTTCCATGAATGATTTTCGTTATCAACTTCATTAATATTAAAATTCATTCACTTTTGGAATTTTGAACCACCTGTATATTAATGACAGCTAGAAAGGCTCCAACTGCATAAGTAATTATAGTTTTATTTAAGAGAAATTAATACAATCAAAATACGGTCTAACACATAACTTGCCTGCTATACTTTGCTTTTCTTGTTTAGGAATAGGGAGATGACAAAGGGATTTTTCATGCTTGTAATGTTCTTTAAAATATACAGCTTCAAAACGATTGCCAAAATCTTTTAGTATGACAGTAGCTGTGCAAGAGAAACCTGTTTTGGAAGTCCCTTGTGCTTTTAGCTGTCTTTCACCTTTGCCTTTTGCTTTGTATGTCCCACTTCTATTACAGCAAAACAGCGTCCTGGTGTAATTTTTATGTTTCTGCCCAGATGAATCTACCACAAAATGAGTCTTTGTTTTTCTTTCTTCATCCGATAGCCATGAATAAAAGTCTAATAAATAAATAAATGTATAAATTTTCATAATAAGGGCATCTGATTAGTAAATAAAAATATGCAGATTGCAGCCACACAGAAAAATAATCTTAATTGTTAAAACTATAGTGTTCTGAAATTATATGTTTCAAAGTAATTAATTTGTTAATTTTTTCAAATAAATGCATATTTGTGTGCTGAAACAGCTTAAATTAATAATACCATATATATGGTGTTTCTTCAAATAAATGTATTGCTGAACTAGCTTTAATGAAGCTATTTAATTTTAATGTAAAAAGATTAAGGGCTATATACAGAAGTTACGCAATATATTTTGCTTATTTATAATTGAACTAGGAAAACAAAATAATAAAAAGTTCATTGCATACCTTGCTTTTTTTGAAACTCCAGTTTTATACATTTGGTCATATTGCTGTAATTATGGCAAGTCTCTAAGTGAGATCTTAAATCTCCTGTAGTAGGAAATAGTTCCCGGCATTCGTCTTCGCCGCATTTAATATTACTTCGCCTTATATTATGGATACGTATCCTATGTTTAGCTAAAGAATTTTTTGTACAAAATTGCTTCGTACAATACGTACACGAAAATGGTGCAACTTTATTATTTAAATTCGTGTATTCTTTGTGCATGCGCTTTCAAATATCTTTTCGCATAAAAAGATGAACTGCAAGATTTACATTTAAACATATCCATTTTGATAATAAAAAAAAAAAGCAATATCCTTGATTTAAACAAACCGCTAACAATTGGCGAGAAACACAATTGCAGTTGGCGAAAAACCAGAAATAGCGCCTAAAACCAAAGAATCTCTTACAGATTCTTTGCCTAAACGTTTCGGGAGTGTCACGTGGTATACAGCCAATGACAGTGAAGATAAGCATTTTCCTCTTCTGGTCTTGAGACGCCTGTCAATTTAACCAACAGTCCTTACGGTTACTGGAGCCGTAAAATTTAGCGGTCGTCCGTTAAGATAAGATCGTTATTTACGCTCCTTAAATATTAGTTAAATATAAAATTAATTTATTAATTTAACCGTTGTAATTTATTATAGTACAAGTTTAACAAATTCATCACACTGTATTTATATTTGCTCATAATTCTTAGTTTGAGACCTGAAAAAAAAAAAAAAAAAAAGTCGGGGATCTTAGTTACAAAAAATCACAATCTATACTCATCGATGGTCAAGAGATCCGCCATTTTTCCTCTCTCAAGAAATTCCTAAGCACGAAGAGGGGGGCCTCCGAAGGGTGTGAATTGCTGATAAGAACGGACTACTGATAAGGAATGTGGCGTCTCTACGGAATAGTTTACGAAAAAGAAAAGAACCACATGACTCTGCTATATACTAAACTATTGTATAATGTTAAATCTTATGAAAATAATAATAAAGAAATTTAATGGCACTTTAGTGATAGAGAATAAGATATTGTATAGAGAACAGAATGTTACTTATCTGAATATTCCGTGTCAGGGTTTCTTTTGGATTTCTCGTGTTGATAGTGAACAGCGAATACGATGTTTGAAGTTTCGAAGAAGCGAAGTTTCCTTCTTCCAATTTGATGAATGAGACATTGCATAGGAAAGGTGCATTAAACTTTTTTAGAGAGTTGAAAACATTTACTGAAACACTTATTTAAAAATTTCGGAGCTATGTTTAGACACTGCCTCCAGCTTTCGTGATCGCAGCGCCAGTCCGCACACACTTCCAATTCATAAGAGAAAACTTTCGCTGGGTTATCTCTTCCGCGGTGAAAGTTCTTATCGAATATTTTACTAAATGTTTACAAATACTGTAGTGTAAGTTGCAGTTGATTTAAAATTATCTCTCTCGCATCGCATCTATATGGCTCATGGGTACAATCTCAACTTTTTATTTGACAGTACTAAATTTATTGGAAAAATCCTCAGACTTCTAGATCGCCGGTTCTGTCCACGTTTGTAGCATTCATAAACTCTGCTCTACACGGACTTATTTTTATACACAAGGGGAGTGACATTGATAGTTTGGTCAAAGACCTCACTGAAAATATACAAAATGCTTATGCGAAAGCACAAGTTGAAGTTAAACCTGGTATGAAACACAAGCCTCAAGAGCTCAGATTATTGATTAAAGAGAGAAATGCTGCAAGACGAGCGTATCAACGTACCAGACACCGTGATGATGAAAGGAACTTCAATCGCCTGTGCGAAGCGGTCAAGTTTCTTACAAATAAACTCTCACAAGATCGCTGGACTAACACTACTCAGATCTCTTTCTGCAGAGGATAACTCCTTATGGAAAGCAGTGAAGAGGTACAAAAAAATGCTATAACGCCATTCCGCCCCTTCACGGCCCTCAACGGATCCATTACACCGGAAACTGAGAAAGCAGAACTTTTAGCTCAGCATCTGGAATCTCAGTTCTGCATTAAACAACATTTCAGACTCAGACACTGAACAGCTTATTGCTGACTTCCACTCCAAATTTACAACACAGTCATGCACAGACAACATTTATCTCAGCCATGCCATCGGAGGTCTGTCTCTATATCATGCGAATTGCGAAAAGGAAGAGCCCTGGAGTAGACGGGGTCACAAATGAGATGATCAAGCACTTCCCTGTCAAGATAATACTCTAACTTCACCAAGTTAGTGAATATCATACTACGATGGCAGTAATACTTCCCAACTTGTTGGAAAACTGCCAAGATTGTCCCTCTGCTTAAGCCCAACAAGCCTGCGACTGCTCCTGAGAGTTACCGACCAACCAGTTTTGCTAAGCTCAATTAGCAAAATCGTGGAAGCAGTTAGCAGTTATCCTACATAGACTAAACATCTTCCTGGATGAGCAGAAGATCCTCATACCCTATCAGTTTGGGTTCAGGCGTAAGCACTCGACAACGCATCAACTCTACAGAGCTGTTGAGTTAATAAGCAGTGGGACGCAAACAACATCGTGTCACTGGTGGACTTTTCTTAGATGTCGCCAAAGCCTTCGATAGAGTATGGCTGGATGCCCTCATATACAAATTACACAACCTGGGACTCCCAGGCTACATCACAAACATAATTAAATCCTACCTAACCGGTAGACACTTTGTCGTTCATGTTTCTGGTTCATTATCCACAAACCGGCCTATACGGGCTGGTGTTCCACAGGGATCTCTTCTGGGCCCTACCCTATTCAATATTTACGTGAACGACATCTACACTACACACAACACAACACTAGCCATGTATGCAGACGACACAGCGAACCTAACGCAAAGTGCATTTGTTAGTTCAGCAATACAACAGCTACAACACCACATCCATTCGCTAGAGACTTGGCTGACCAAATGGAAAGTCAAAGGGAATGTCAACAAGACACATGCCATACTGTTTACTACTAAGAAGAATTTCCCGACTCACCTGCAAATGTATGGTGTGGACATTCCCTGGGTCAAGCAGGTCCCTTATCTTGGGGTGATCCTCAGTAAATCTCTTACATGGAACCCACACGTTACACATATTCTCAGGAAGTTTCGAGCTAGTAAAGCTTCACTCTTCCCCTTAATTGCTCGAAACAGTGTTCTATCTATTGATAATAAGTTGCTCATTTACAAAACTATGTTGCGTCCAATTCTTAGTTATGCATGCCCCGTCTGGGCATACTCGTGAAAAAGTTTGAGAAGGCAGTTACAAGCTGCCCAAAACGGGGGGGTATTGCGTATGATATGTAATGCCCCCTGGTACATTCGGAATAGCCAAATTCGTAAAGAGTTAAGAATAGAGGATCTTTTTGATTTTTATCGCCGCCTATCTAGGGCATTTTATGATAAACAGGAACTTCTGGACAATCCTGTGGTTGTTAACTATTGTTATGATACTAGGGACCCCAATTTCAGTAAACGCCCAAGGGCGATCCTAAATGTTAGTAATGTGTAATTTTGTATATGTGTTATGCAAATTGTTGCTCAGATTCTTTATTGTATATTGTTCTTTTTTCTTGCTTTTTGTTTTTACTAGTGGCACTAAGGCGTCGCACTTCGTATTTTGTTTCTCTTGTGTGTACATGTATTCTTCTGTGAAATAGTTGTTAAAAAGTAGTTAATTATGTATGGATTAGTAATTAGGTACTTCAGGAAAAAAATTTGTATTTAACTATTAGCAATTATGAATTTAAACTCTTGCTCATTTAATTATTTAGCACATTCAGTTATATTTCTCATAATTCGAAACTTTTATCATGTTATTCGATGAGGGGTAGGGCTAAGGTATATATTAGCCTTAGGTAGGGCTATGGCGCCCAGGCACCCTGGTGGTTAAGCACCGCAGTTCAACATAGGTAGATAGGTATATTCTGCCTACTAGCTGGCAAAAAGGCCTTAAAGTAGCTGCAAAATAACATCCTTTGTCCTGCGAAATGAATATAAACAATTGTGATGAACTTGGGTTTGTAATGTATCCTTTGCATTTTCCTTTTTAGTTATTTATAATACTGCAGTTAACAAATAATTTAGATTATCATTTACATAGATGCGTTTTATATGCGAGATGTAAGAAATATATTTTGATATTGGTAACAGCCAAATTCAAAATGTTGCTTAGCATCATTCAGCTGTCTGTACGCGCTGTAACCTGTTAAAAATAATGTAAATTAAAATAAAATTTTTGTATTCAAATTTAAAATAAATTTACGTAAAAGTTTAAGATTGAAGCAGGAAATTATTATTTAACTGAAAATATTCATGACAAGTGTCTTAATTTCTGATCACCATATTGTTGACGATAATTAAATCAGAAGAACATTAATTTTCTTTTAAATTTTAAAATACCTCAAAATTTTTTGTGTGCTGCAGAACAAGAAATAGTATGAGGAGAAAGAAACGTATATGACCGATTGTATGTTTTTACAGCATGGAAATAGTGTTCAGCTATGCCTTCACGTAAGTTTTCAAAATATTAGGCTGATCTTTGGAATATGGTAACTGGTAGTTTGGCGACATTTTGGAGGCGATAAAGTTTACTACCTAGGACTTTGGTAATAATGTGAGAAGTACTCAGTTCAGATTATGCATTATTTTGTGGTGAGGGAAATGAGAGATCATGAGATATGTCATGTGACATTATGGACGAATTACAGTTCTTTAATCGGAAAAGGGGGATAATTTGGAAAACTGTAGTACTATATTATTTAGTATTAAGCTTCATTGTGTGTTGTGTGAAATAGTGGAAGTGTGCGTGCCACGTAATGAAGATTCTGAAGATTAGGTAAGTTAGTATCTTTAATCATTTGAGGATATTATTTTTATGCATTGTTCTAAATGTAAGGAGTAAATAAATTTATATGGTATTATTGGAAAATTGTTATGTTACCAGTGATTTAGTTTAAAGTAATTAGGATTGTAATCTAATTTTTATTAATTTAATGTATGTGCTTATTTATATTTTAAGTAGTGGTTTTTAATTTAATTATATTTTAATTTAAAGATTGTGATTTTGTGAGTTATACGTTTGTAGTATTTTGGAATACGTTTGAGTAGAATACGTTGAGTATTTTCATGCATTTTCGTGAAATTTTGCTAATTTATGAGAAAAAAGTAGTGTACATGGATATAGTGAAGAGTGTGCGCAATGCCATTTTTGTGCAATTCTTGGATGTTTTTTTAAGTAAAAATAAGTCGACGTGTACATGGTTTAGTGATATTTTAATTAAATGATAGTTATTTTGTGAATTTTATGTTTGTAGGAATTTGGTATATGTTTCAGTTGAAGTAAACGTGCATGGAAGTAATTTAAATATTTGACACTAAGTATTTGTAACCATTTGTAATGTTTGCGGTATGAATTTGTTGGTGACGTTTATAATATAATAGATAATTTAGAGGTAAAAGTTTTCGGATATTTTACGTATTTTATACGTGGAAATGTTCATCTTTGGAAAGGGTATATACTTTTTCGTGATCAGGTAATTTCATATATGTTATTTTTACTGGATTTAAAGATTCACAAAATTTTCATGCATTTTCATCAAATTTTTCTAATTTATGAGAAAATAGCAGTGTAGATGGATATAGTGAAGAGTGTGCGCAATGCCATTTTTGTGCGATTCTGGGATTTTTTTTAAGTAAAAATAAGTCGACATGTACGTGGTTTAGTGATATTTTAATTAAATGATAGTTATATTGTGAATTTTATGTTTGTAAAAATTTGGTATACATTTCAGTTGAAGTAAACGTGAATGGAAATAATTTAAATATTTGACACTAAGTATTTGTAACCATTTGTAATGTTTGCAGTATGAATTCGTTGGTGACGTTTATAATATAATAGATAATTTAGAGGTAAAAGTTTTTGGATATTTTATTTATTTTATACATGGAAATGTTCATCCTTGGAAAGGGTATATACTTTTTCACGATCAGGTAATTTCATATATGTGCTTTTTACCAAGTTTAAAGATTCACAGAATTTTTTTGCATTTTCATGCAAATTTTTGTAATTTATAAGAAAATAGCACTGTAGATGGATAAAGTTAAGAGTGTGTACAATGCCATTTTTGTGCAATTCTGGGATGTTTTTTTAAGTAAAAATAAGTCGACGTGTAAATGGTTTATGTGTATGTGCTATTGTGGAAAACGCGCAAGGAGTTTGCGATTGTGCACTTTTTCCCAATTTTGCAGTTAATATTTGTCATGATTAAGCAGTTTTGTTACATAAAAATTTCTAGCATAAGTGTAATTTGGCTAGTAGATTGTTGGAAAAAGTGTTCAGTAAATAAAAAGAAAAGAAACATGTCTTTACTTCGTGAAGACAAAATGGCGGGGGGGAAAAAAAAATAGAGGGTTGCTGTAGCAGAGTTGGTCGCCAAAAAATCGCCAAGTTACCATAATCCAAAGATCAACCCTGACTTCTTTTGTATTTTTTGTGAAACGTTGAAATTTTGTTGATGGGACTGCTGTTATTGTGCATATGCCTTTTTCACTGATATCGGCCACACCAAAGATATATATATATATAGGGCAAGACATACTATATTCCCACCCTGTTACCCAACTCGGATCTTTATTCTTATATGTTGGTAAATTGTGCCTTTTTTGCTTTAAAAGTGGTTGAATTATTTTGTTCTTATCTTCGGGTTTCTATGCTTTTGTTAATCTGCAAGCAATAAATATAGAATTACCAATAATTTAAAAGTGGTGCTACGCCTAACGAGGTCACCATTTGTTTACAATTGAAACTCTCAATAAAATAGTGAATTAAGTCAATTAATGCATCAAATTCAATTTCCTCTTGACCACTGGCACCAAAATCGTCCACTGAAAATTTGGTCTCCCTGCCCACTGGCCGAATTGTTTGTTTTTGCATAGAAGCTTTAATTTTAATCATAAAAATTGTGTTTTTAACTGTATCTGGTGTTTTAGGTTTTTCTAAATTTTACAATTTTTAATGAATATGTTAACACAGAATAACAGAAGAGTAACTAAAAAATTAACACTGCTGTAATGACTAGTACCAGTAGTTTTTTATTACTTTTTAAAGTAGTGAAGAGGAAGTGACAGCCGGAATTTTTTTTCTTTTGTTTAATAGATTTTGGAAATTATTTAGAGCTCTGATCATCATCATTATTTCTACTTCAATAGTTATATTTTATATAAGTTTTCTCCAGATGTATGATTGAATATCCTTAGCAAATGATTCTAGAGTAAAATTTAAGATGACTTTCATTCTGATGCTGTTTTTTATTCATCTGATGAGCAGGTTTAGAAGTCAAGTAAAAATTTATGTCATGATCAAAGATACCACAAATTCTAAAACCGTATCACATACACAATCCACCCTTAACAGCATGATGGAAGATAAATTTCCTGGAATTTTTGCTCTTTAAATATCTGATTGGTTGACTTAAATGAAACAATACGAGGGCCAAAGCTTCAAGCAAAACATTTTTGGTTCAGCTTCAAAATGTCCAACATAACTGTAATATCGATTCCAAGAAACTATTTTAGCTAGGAACTTGACAACGGTAGGAGAAGGATAAACTCATTTCTCGGAAAATGTTATGATAACAAAGATATATTTTTCACAGCTGATGTTAAAATCTTCGGCTAATTTTTGGAATATGGTAACAGGTAGTTTGGCGACATTTTGGTAAGGCGATAAAGGTTACTAGCTAGGACTTTAGCGGTGTACATGGATAAAGTCAAGAGTGTGCGCAATGCCATTTTTGTGCAATTCTGGGATGTTTTTTTAAGTGAAAATAGGTCGATGTTTACATGGATACCGTGTATGTGCAATTCTTAGAAACGTGGCAAGCAGTTTGCGATTCTGCACTTTCTCCCAATTTCACACCTAATCTTCGTCATGATTAAGCACTTTTGTTCCATAAAAGTTCTACCATAAGCGTAATTCGGCTAGCAGATTGTTGGAAAAAAAAAAAAAATGTTGAGTAAAAAAAAAAAAATGCCTTTACTTCGTGAAAACAAAATGGCGTCCAAACAAAAACTAGCAGTTTGCTGTAGCAGGGTTGGTTGCCAAATTTTTGCCAAAAAATCGCCAAGTTACCATAATCCAAAGATTAACCAAATCGGCTACCTGTCCCATAAATCAAATGATGCTTATCAAACATACATTATTTACCAAGCTACTCATATCAATTTATGAAATATTATTTCTGAATAAATTATTAAATATTAATATTTAGCTAATCTTTGGAATATGGTACCGGGTAGTTTGGCGACATTTTGGTAAGGTGATAAAGGTTACTAGCTAGGACTTTAGCAGTGTACATGGATAAAGTCAAAAGTGTGCGCAATGCCCTTTTTGTGCAATTCTGAGATGTTTTTTTTAAGTGAAAATAGGTCGATGTTTACATGGATACCGTGTATGTGCAATTCTTAGAAACGTGGCAAGCAGTTTGCGATTCTGCACTTTCTCCCAATTTCGCAGCTAATCTTCGTCATGATTAAGTACTTTTGTTCCATAAAAGTTCAAGCATAAGTGTAATTCGGCTAGCAGATTGTTGGAAAAAAAATGTTGAGGGGGGAAACAAAAAAAAAACATGCCTTTACTTTGTGAAAACAAAATGGCGTCCAAACATAAACTAGCTAGGTTGGTCGCCAACTTTTCACCAAAAAATCGCCAAGTTACTATAATCCAAAGATTAACCAAGAAGTCTATTAAAAAAAGATACTTATGTTTTAGTGCAGCCACCTTAGTAGAAGCTGTCACATGTTCAGAATGCATGAAACGTCAGCAACCAAGCACATTCTAACTTAAGCAGTGTGCCTTTTTGTATGCATTCTTTTTGTTGTATTCTAAGTTCTAGTGTCTTTTATACACAACTTGTATTTTTTGTTTTAAACTCAATTATTAATATGTGCTTGGCAAATATGCGTGGAATAAAATACAGTAAAAGTTTTACAGGAATGCAATATTTTGTTGTAAAATCATTTAAAGGGAACAGTTGCTTTAAATCTGTTCTTAAAGTGTTCACCATAAAATTTATGTTCAAACAAATCCACTGTAAGTAGATTTATTGGTGGATTTTCAAAATGTCTGTGTAATAAATGATTTATTTGCAATCATATATCATCCTTTCTCTTCTGTAAAATACTGCTAAATTGTATCGAATTGGTTGTGTTAATATGTAGTTACCTAAACAAAATTTCTGCAGCAGTGACAGAAGACAAAACATTTTATATTGTTCATTGATGAAAGAAAAAGGGGAAGAATCAATTTTCAGAAGCTAAAGGTAAATAATGATTATGGGTACTTATGCGTTAATGCCAGTACCTTAGTTGCCAAATTTTCAGAATGTCCCAAATTCTGGCAACCATGTACTTAACCACTTTTCAGGCAACCATTCTTATAACAGTCCTTCTGTTAAGCAACATCGCCAGTTTTGTGTGTGTTCTTTATGTTGTATTCCAAGTTCCAATGGTTTTTATAAACAAACAATGATATTTTTTTCCTTACTTTTAAAATGTGTGCATGTGGGATTTGATAGCAAATGGAAGAAATTCGGTGAAATTTCTGCAGAAAGTACAGAAATTTGCCACAAAATCTGTACAGGGAACAATAAAGAGATGTGTTTGATAGATAATTAGTGCTGCTGAGGTTTGTGCTACGAGTCTGTGCCATTCTCTGATGTTTTTTAAACAAAAACAGATTGCTGTGTACTTGCGGAAAAGAATATCATAAAAACAAATTACAGAAATATTTGGAAATTAGTGTAAATGTTTTATTTTTTAATGTATCACAAAATCCTTATTTAACAACTAAAATTTGTGTTTAAAATTGCTAAAGTATGTTGACTTTTAATTTGTTGGTAAGTTTTTCAACTTAATAGATATTGATAACATGGGAGACTGTTTTTTAAAAAAATTTTGAAAATCACCAACTTGTACCTGATAAGTAACTTTTGCCTTTTCATCTGTAAAAAATTGAGTTGTCCTACAGTGGCTGTGTTAATATATAAGTACTGGATTATGATTTAGATCAGTGTGTTAATATATAAGTACCAGATGTGCCACAGTGGTTGTGTTAATATATAAGTATCGGATTCTGATTTAGATCAGTGTGGTCCAACCTTTAGTTACCCGAGGGCCAATCAAATGCTAGAAGAGTGAAGGCCAAAGACATTAAAGAAAGAAAATGAATTACATATAAATCACTAGTTTAATATGTCACTTTATTTTACAGTCTAGAAATCAATGTGATGATTGGGACTGCATTTTTTTTTATATAAGTTTATCAATGTCTACTGTAATTTCAGTAAGTCTCAGGCTTAGTTCCAGTGAAGCGCTTTCAATGCGATTTTTCATTTTTGATTTAATTTGTTTGAGAGCAGAAAAAGCACTTTCACTCACATGCCAAACATTACTGCCAAATAGCGATAACATTTGCAAAGAGAATTTTTGCTGTTTGGGAAAACATTCTTTAGAAATCAGTTTCCAGAAATGTTCAGTGACATCACACTTTTTAGTCTGGTAGATAGGCCTGAAGATCACAAATTTCCATTTGAAGGTCACAAGGCACCTCACTTACTCCAGTCTCCATGGAGTTGTTTAACAATGAAAGTTTTATTTTTAGGGCATCAAAATCCTGGAATTTGTCCTGGAACTCTTTCTTGATATCAGTAATTATTCCATGAAACATACTAAAATTTGTGTCATTTTTTTCTTTCAATTGCTGACAATATGAGAAGTGTGCCGTATTATTTGCCTTCATTGCAATTTGCATTACATTAAGGTTTTTGCGAAAGCCTTCAATATCTCCATAGAGCTGGGACATATTTTGTTTTCTGCCTTGTAAGTTCAAGTTTAAAGCTTTTAGATGGGCTGTTAAATCTGTCAGAAAAGGAAGATTATTTAAAAATTGGATTTCTTCCAATTTTTCTTGAGACTCATGCCCAATGTTTTCTTTTTTGAGGAAAGCAAGAATTTTATTCCTCAACTCAAAAAACTGCAGACAATTTCCAGCACTTAGCCAGCATATTTGACTGTACAATGAAATGTCGGTACTTTTCCGTTTCGCCGGCGCAAATCTCGCCAAGCAGATTTTCTTGGTGACAGCATACGTTATACACATAAAAAATTTTAACAAATGTTAGTTCTAAGAATTTTTTATTTTGATATGGTTTGATTTTAATATGGTTTAAAATTTGCCTTCATTGCAATTTGCATTACATTAAGGTTTTTGCGGAAGCCTTCAATATGTCCATAAAGCTGGGATATATTTTGTTTTCTGCCTTGTAAGTTCAAGTTTAAAGCTTTTAGATGGGCTGTTAAATCTGTCAGAAAAGGAAGATTATTTAAAAATTGGATTTCTTCCAATTTTTCTTGAGACTCATGCCCAATGTTTTCTTTTTTGAGGAAAGCAAGAATTTTATTCAACCCAAAAAACTGCAGACAATTTCCAGCCCTTAGCCAGCATATTTGACTGTACAATGAAATGTCGGTACTTTTCTGTTTCGTCGGCGCAAATCTCGCCAAGCAGACTTTCTTGGTGACAGCATACATTATACACATAAAAATTTTAACAAATGTTAATTCTAAGAATTTTTTATTTTGATATGGTTTGATTTTAATATGGTTTAAAATTTTGTAAAAAGCCAATAAATAAAGATAATAAATTTGTAAAAAAACATTAATTTAAGAATTTACTATGCTTTCATGGTTCAACATCCTGATTCACGGGTTCTTATATCGTGACCCCAAGTGATTCATCTCACGTAAACTACGCTACGAAAATCTAACTCTCTCAGTAATTATCTGCATTAATTTCATGTTAAATCTTAATTTGAAATAATAGTTTAAATGCAAGAATTATTTCAATTCATACGAATAGCTTATTCAGAAATTATGTAAAACTGCAGTGCTTTATTTCACTAGTGCATTCTCATTAGAATTGATGAATTTAACCCTTGATTTTGCCTTTCTATATTTTCGCCTTCCGGTGAGCGGTGTGATTGCATGCTAATTGACTTAAATACTGCGAATGGTCTAGGGCATAAAATTTAACTATTTTGTAAAAATTCTATGTAATTGTATGCCAGTATTGAAAGAAATAATCAATCTGATAAGAAATGGCTGTGACTTGTTTTGAAAATGAAGCATAAAAGGTTACCAGCGAAGATATTTTTCATTTGGCATCAGTTGTACTGTTATTGGCGACTTTATTGTTTGCACCGGCAAAATGGAAAAGTACCGAATAGTCATCATACTCAGCATCCAGATTGTTCACAAATGCAATAAATGCTCTGTGTCTCTGGGCTTTGCCTCCCCTTATTAAATTTATAATATTTACAACAGTTTTCATTGTCTGAGCCTTATAATTTTTATTATTTAATTATTATATTTAATATAATTATTTATGTTTATTAATTATTATTTAAAACAGTAATAAGGGTCTTTTGTTTTTCCAAATGTTTAATTAACACTTTTTTTTTTCCAGTAAAGAAAGGCAAGTGCCAGCAAAATGAATAAAAGGGCTGCATGTGTCCCTCGGGCCGTGGGTTGGACCACGCTGATTTAGATCATTAAAGATTTTTATGTATGTGAAAGGTCTTGAGCAAGTCTATTTTACTTTTTTTGGAGGGGATGGGAAACTGATTATTGAAACTTAAAATTAATATAATTCATCTAATAAACAATAACTTTTTAATATTGGAAAAATAAAAGAATTTAGTAGTTCTTTGTATGAACAATGTGAAAAAAATTAAGCAGTTTTAAGACATTTTTAATATATATATATATATATTTAATTTTAGATTTTTTTATAATGGCTGAAAGTAAATACTTTTAGTATGCTTATTTTTTGCTAATTCTGTGCATAATATTTAATATTAATTGAAATGCAATAGCAGAAATGATTTCTCTGAACAAATTATTAGCCATATGGAAGTTCCTTTCCAAACATTTAAAGAAGCTACTGTGGCGTACAATAGTTTACGGATTGATGCTGAGCCATTACGTGGTGGTGTCATCAAAGAATTGAATGTGAGAGATAATTACTTGGTTGTGTAAGTAAAATAGGAATATTATTCAGAAAAAGATATATTTATAATGTATTGTATTACTTCAAGTTTAATTTGTAGGATTTTAAAACTGGAAAACTGAAAAAATAATAAAAATAACCACATTCAAATTTAAACACAGATTATTCTTTTAGATTTGAAGATAAATATTTGATACAGGATTTTAAAACTGGAAGATAATACAGTCAAAAGTCGTTAATTCAGACACCCATAATCCGGAATGATCTATAATCTGGACCTCAAAGCTACAAACTTTCTGCGCATGCGTCGCATTGACGCATGCGCGTAAGACCTTTACCGCTGCGAATTTGCGTCTGCGCGTGTGCAAAATACGTTTACGAATGCACATTTAATGTATAACGGACGGGATAAGCTAAGTTAAAATTATCTAATTATCTATTTCAGGTAATTTTGCAGATTGCGTTATTCCTTAATCTTCGAATTAAATCCGGATTATTATTTTTTGCAGACTGTTAGAGCAATTTTATAAAAGTAAGCTTGAACTTTCGATTATGTCAAATAGAATTTCCGATATATATTTACTAATATGTAAAGGATATACAAAGCGAAAGTAACTTTCGGAGTCCATTAAACAAAAAGTGTAATTGCTGCAAAAAATGGATAAAGGCATATCCTTTGTTTATCTAAACTTTGTTTATCTTTAACGCCGCGGCGGTGTGCAATGAATTGGAAGTTGATCTGTTAGCAATATCCTTATCTTAAGGGCAGATGTTTTTATTTTATTTGTCTTATAATTGCTTACTCAATGTAGTATTTCATCTCGATGTACTCCGTCTTTGATATGATTTAAATCAAATGCCTCGTCATTATAATTCGCTTCCGATAGCAAAGAAAGTGACAAAGGTTATTGAAAACGAAAAAATTTCGATTGACAAATTAGTCGGTATTCTCGACACAGCAATTATAGGACTTGAACAGTGGAACTTTGTAACTGAACAGGAAATTATGTCTGTTTATAGAATTAAAGAGAATGTATTATCACATAAAAAACGAAGCAACTTAAAACAACTTACATTGAAAGAAATGTTTAATAAAGTAAACAAATAAATATTAAGCTTTTTTTTTGTAAATTTTGATACCCTTTAGATCATAATTGTTCTTTATTTCGTAAATTACGGTTTCATATTTTTAATTTTATAATTTCTGCATGCCATTTTACCAGATTTAAACTGATGATCTATAATCCGGAAAAATCGGTAATCCTGAATCGCCGAAGTCCCGACGAGTCCGGATTAACGACTTTTGACTGTAGTAACACACACACACACACACACACACAAAACCAAAAAAAAAAAAAAAAAAAAAAAAAAAAAAAAAAAGACAGAGAGAGACAAATAGACATTTTATAATAGGCATTGGAAAATAGGAAAAGTTTTTATCTACTTAAATATGTACCAATATGTGCTACTGAATTTATTGAGAATGTATTGTGGTTTATTGTATTATATGTATAAGTACCATTGCATTATAGTATAAGCTACTGAATTTCTTGATTTATTCTTCTTGTTGTTGCTAATCCTCAAGTTCAGCTTCTGCTAGACGAGATCCACGAGTTTATTCATCTTCAAAAAGTCATAGACTGGCATAGGAAACTTAACCAGGTCATCGCAGGTCAAACCCAAACACCTAAGAATATGTGCCAGAGAAGCCTGCTCATTGCAATGCTCATGAAGCCTGCTCATGATTTATTCTTCCTATATACTATCACTTTCAAAACTTGGAATTCTCATCTTAATTATTGGGTCAGAGCATATCATAGCATTAATCATGATTTTTGAATTGCACATCAGTTAGTAATATACCAGAATATATCACTGACTAGTTGGATATTGATTGCAATAAAATGCTATTCTTTTTTTAATTTGTCACACACCCTAATTCTACGTCTTAAATGCTTGAATAAAATGTTTGGCTTAAATTCGAAGTACTAATACAATATGTATAGTAGAAAGTGATTAACTTTAAAAGGTTTGCAATTAATGATTTTTGCCTGTTTACATGCATTATAGATATCAAAATTTATTAGAAGAACAGGGTATTTGATTGGATAATTTATACTGTAGGAAGTTTTAGCATGAAGTAAAAAAAAAAAAAAAAGTAGTATCCTCAAATATTTTATGCATTTAATATTTGCAAAATTTGCTCCTACTGTGTTATGACACATTCGTTTGCTGCAAGATTTTGGCTTAAAATACAGAGAGTGCTTACATATTTTTGTAATGATTTTGATAAAGAATTTGAAAAAAGCAAATGTAGAAAATATTTTAGAATAAAAATTTCTGCCGACAGTTTACGGTTCGAAAATAGAAATATCATTTGCTACTTTTAAATTCTTCTTCTTTCAAAATACCATGTGTAAACAAGCTGTGGATTGGAAGGTATGTTTCTGCATTTTCCGAAGAGAAATATTCCTATTCTGTAATTCAAAAACATTGTAAAATAGTAATAGAATTTCTAAATGTAAAATAAGCAATATTATTAATTGGAAAGAAAAGAACTATCAATCATTACTACATGGACTCATTCATTTACATGGGAAGAAGACTCCAAACGAACGCTCGAGAAAGGTATGTATGGTTTTTAAAGTTAAGTCATTGGTAACAAGAGAAAAATCTACCAGCACAAATATCATTTGCAGAGACTTTAAATACATAAGCAACAACAATAAATAAAATAATAAACCAAAATTTACAACTTAAAAAAGGTAAAAATTATAATGTTCACCAGCTTTGTAGAGGCATGTGTTTTAGAATAGAACAATTTAAAACATTTTTTTTTGCCATATTTACAATGATGTTGATTCATAGCTATCATGGATGGTGTGTGTTTCAGATGTTTAGCATTGTTGATTGCAACACCCAGGACCAGCTTCAGTTAGGTAGATTGTCAACTGTCACAACCGATGAAAATATATCAGTCATTGAAAACCATCCAAATGACAAATGCATGACTATGAGACAGATCATGAAATACACATATGCGGCAAAAGGATTTGTGTTATTCCAACCACTAGGACAAGCTAATCCAACAAGTAGGACACCGAAAAAATTGTGCTCATTGGGATACTCAGCTCTTGACAAGGGACATGATGCAGATCAGCAAGAATGTGTGTGATGATCTGCAAAGTTTCTTTAGGGGTTTCTGAGAATGTTATGGAGCAATATGTCTTTAAATGCCACTCTGATAATACCTTATTGATAGTGTACAGCTAAGCTTTATGATGATTAGTGAACAGCTAAGCTGCTAAGCTTTATGATAATCATTGTGATTTGAACGTTTTCATATATTACACGGGAAAAAAAAAAAAAAAAAACAGAATTTTCCAATTAATGAAATTTGTGAAAAAATGTGGAGAGGTAGTAATAAATGAAGATGATATAACAGAAATTTTTCTTTGCAAATGACGATGCCCAGATCATCAATCAACTAATGGATGTCCATTTGTACTGTATTCAAAATTTATTTATTCCATATGACATTACACTCAAAAGTCGTTAATCCGGACTCGTCGGGACTTCGGCGTTTCCGGATTATAGATCATCATTTTAAATCTGGTAAGATGGCATGCAGAAATTATAAAATTAAAAATATGAAACTGTAATTTATGAAATAAAGAACAATTATGATCTAAAGGGTATCAAAATTTATAAAAAAAAAGCTTAATATTTATTGGTTTACTTTATTAAACATTTATTTCAATGTAAGTTGTTTAAGTTGCTTCGTTTTATGTGATAATACTTTCTCTTTAATTCTATAAACAGACATAATTTCTTCTTCAGTTACAAAGTTCCGCTGTTCAAGTCCTATAATTGCTGTGTCGAGAATACCGACTAATTTGTCAATCGAAATTTTTTTGTTTTCAATAACCTCTGTGTCACTTTCTTCACTATCGGAAGTGAATTATAGTGACGAGGAATTTGATTTAAATCATATCAAAGACGGAGTACATCGAGATGAAATACTACATTTAGTAAGGAATTATAAGTGAATAAAATAAAAACATCTGCCCTGAAGATAAGGATAGTGCTGACAGATGAACTTCCAGTTCATTGCGTGCCGCAACGTGTCCCCCCCCGGCAAAGCAGTGTGAAATTGATAAACAGATTTTGGAATGGTTAGAGAAACAAAGGATATGCTTTTATCCATTTTTTGCAGCAATTCCACTTTTTGTTTAATGGACTTCGAAACATACTTTCGCTTTGTAGATCCTTTACATATAAGTAAATATATATCAGAAATTCTATTTGACATAATCGAAAGTTCAAGCTTACTTTTATAAAATTGCTCTAACAGTCTGCAAAAAAATAATAAGCCGGATCCAATTCGAAGATTAAGGAACAATGCAATCTGCAACATTAACTGAATTAGCTAATTTTAGCTGAACTTATACCGTCTGTTATACATTAAACACACATTCGTAAACGTATTTTGCACATGCGCACACGCATATTTACAGCTGTAAAGGTCTTACATGCATGCGGTAACACGCCGCATGCGCAGAAAGTTTGTAGCTTTGAGGTCCGGATTATAGGTCATTCCGTATTATGTGTGTCTGAATTAATGACTTTTGACTGTATTTGACTGTATTAGCACAAAAAATGAAGCAACTTGAACAACTTACATTGAAAGAAATGTTTAATAAAGTAAACAAATAAATGTTAAGCTTTTTTTTTGTAAATTTTGTTAACCTTTAAATCATAATTGCTCTTTATTTCATAAATTATGGTTTCATATTTTTAATTGTATCATTTCTGCATGCCATCTTACCAGATTTAAATTGATGATCTATAATCCGGAATCACCGAAGTCCTGTTATGTAAATTCTTATGTATTTTTTTTGTTTTGTTGTATATAATTATACTGTGCATATTGTATTCTTAGTTATTATATTATTTTACTGTGTTTAATGAATTTGTATTGAGCTTATTTTAAATTAATGTATAATATTTAATATTGTTAAACTT